AAGCCGGCCAATTCTTCTTGTCCAGGAGTCTGTTGAGTACCCAAGGAGAGACTCTGTTACCGAAAACCAACATCCCCCAGTATTGGCTCCAAGCAGATCTGCTTCTCTTACAAACCACAACGGTTTAGATTCTAAAAACGAAACTTCCTTGTGCCATGATGGCGTCCCTCCAAACCACAGGGGGCGATCACTTTGTTCAAGGGAAGTGCCTTTAATTCAGATTGAAACAGATCAGAGAGAAGAGTGCGTCGGCGAACCTGAACATGTCCTTTCTGAAGGCAGCCCCCTAGAGGAAACAGAACAGCATTTGAAAGAAGAAAAACTCCCAGATGTGGTGAGGGGTGAAGACACTGCTCAGACAGCCTGCCAAAACCGTAGGTGAGTGAGTGATCTCGGAGACTAGATAAGAGTGCATGAGACTGGAGTTTGCATCTTAATTAGTATTTATTCTAAATCTTAGGGACTTTACTGACTCAATAACTAAATTCCTGAGACAATAAATGACCTCTTTGGGTTACTATGAACATGTAATAGAAAGATAGAAGTAATTTTTTAAAGTTTCTAAAACAAATTGGAATCATTTACATAAAAGAGGAACTAGAATATTAACTCCCCATTAAAATTAACCACCCATAGCATGTTACTTTTTAAAATTTGCTCATGACAATTTTCAAGCAAAAAAAAAAAAAAAAGATAATGTCAACTATTCCATTGAAAAAAAAATTTCTAGTGTAAAAACTTTAATATTAGAAACTGACATTAAATATTTTGGTAGCGTTTTTCTTTAGGCCCTCTTCTTTCACGTTGGTTTTTTTTTTTTTTTTTTTTTTTTTTTTTTTTTTTTTTTTTTAAAAAGGGCATCGTCTTTCGAAGAGCGAGCTCTTTAGGTGCATGGTATACTGATGGCCTCACAGAGGGTGAAACAACACTGGAGTACTGTTATTTCGATTTCTCTTTCAAAAAATTGCAGTGTTAGGTGACAATGCATTTTGAATTTGAGGCAAAATAACTGCTTCTCTCAGGCTGTGTAAAGAAGCATCAATTCCTTTTTATAACTCCCATTTTCCATAGAAAATTCATATGATTCTTGAATATGAGACCATTGTATCATTTAAACATTTTGGTCTATAGTTAAAATTACACAAAACAGAAGAAAACAAAAATGAAATTAAGCTATTTGCCTTGGAAAACATAAGCTAAGAAATAGCCTGCATAGTCTTTTCAGAGATATTTGCCTATCATACGAAGAACTTGTAATTTTTAAATGTTCAGTTGCAACGAACAAGTTGAGCACAGCCTACATCAAATTTTATCAGCTCTTGAATGTCCTCAATACATCCCCACCCTCACCAGGGGAGCAAAAGGGTTCCATCTTTAGGTAATGACGGCCCCCATAAATATAGGGCATCATTACAAGGTGTGGGTGGTATGTGGTCCACGTGCAAGTATTTCATCCTGAACCATTTAATGCTAAGAAATTAACTTTCCAATTCAATTAAATCCTGGAAAAAATGAAAGGGAAGAAAGAATGGAAATATATAGACAAGCAAAAGAACACAAAGGTAAACCAAATGAAGTACAGGGTAAACTGACCAAGAAGACATGTTCTTATATATCAGCAATTCTCCAGCTGTAGGGCAACACTCATTGAAGTCTTACAAGAAGAGCACCTTACCTTACTTTAATATTCACCACCTTCAGGAATATGGAGAAATACAAGTTTTAAAAGTGATCAGATATGAAGAAACAAAATAGCCAATGTATAATTCTTTAGAATGGCTTTAACTTGAGATAGGAGAAAATGGATTCCAGGTGGCTGACTTAGAGTCTCCTTGAACGCAGAGATTTTTAGCCAAAGAACATTAGGGTGTTAGGGTGTATTCATGATCTAGTAGTCCAACAAGATTCATGATTATAGGCTCAAATCAAAGGTGATTGTCACTGAAGTTAAATAAAATTTCTTATATAATTTTGAGTTAAATATCACTAATATTGTGCTTAAAATAGGTGCAACCTGAAGATTTTTGAAAATTTTGGAAAATATGTATGAATAAAGCCTCCAACTGATTGAGGTTTGTGTTCCATACAATGACCCAAGCGCATATTCTCACAACTCGTGCTGTGGGTTTCTGATTTTACTTTCCAATAATGAAAGAAAAAAATGTGGGATCATCAGCCTTAGAAATTCAAGAGATGGGTCTGCTTCCAAATCACAAAGACTACTAAATATTAAATATATTTGTCTTTGTGGAGCAATGTAAAGAATTTTAATAGAAGACAAACTTCACTAACTAACCTTGAAACCATGTGACCTTGGGCAAGTTCCCTAATCTCTCTACTTTGGTTTACTCACCTATAAATAGAAATAATAATAATAATAATAACAACAACAACAATATTTTCATAAGAGGATTTTTAAGATTTAAATAAAGAAATGCACATAAAGCTCTTAACTCAGTGCCTACTACTCGATAAATGTTTTTTATGATTGTTATTGATGTTTTGGGTTAGGGTATATGGTTGTCTTTATTCCAGATTGTTGTCCCAAGACAAACTTGTTATGAAGAGTGTGAGAATTTTATTAAAACAGAAGAATTCCCAGGACTTGGAAGAGGAGAAATTAGTCATATTTAGATAACATTTTCAAGGTTTAGAGTTGCCATTGTGAAACTCGATGTGTCAAAATGGCTAAATACGGAACTCAGCCCCATATGAGAGAGTTCCTACCCACTTATGCATAAGAGAGTTAGGTGACACAGGCACTCTCGACTCTCTTTGGAGGTAGGGAGGTATCATGTCATGAAGATATTTTGAGGCCACTCTCTTAGCGATATTTTTATAGTTCTTACTAAAAACTTCATAAAAGCTCAACATACTGAAATAAAAATTATTTTTTTACTTTATTTATTTGATAAAAAGTAACAACTTCAGAATATATTATGGAACTCATGCCCAAATAGAAATATTTATTGTATTTAGGCCACCACATTTGTCCAGATACCTGAATTATCCCTCAATTATAAAGAGCTTAAATGATATAGGGCATCCTAGTTCTTGATTTCTGGGAAGATATGATCCTACGGGTGGGCAACAAGGCATTCTTCATTCAGCCTCCCTCCCTGAGATTATTGAAGAATAATTATCTACTTTTTTGATAAGTTGAGACCGCAACATATAAACACCAAACTGAGAAAGAATTTTCACCTAATCTGATTTTTTAGAAACATATTTAATGTTGTGTATGTATTTATATCCACTTCGAGAAAAAAAAATTATTCTTACAACAAATATTTGATGCCCATTCTGGGATGCACACTGTCCTTGGTACTGCAAATGAAGAAGGATGTAGCAATTTGGTGCCTGTTTCCATAGCTCTTACACCTCAGTGGGAGAAACAAACAACATATGTGGAAAATCTCTTTGGAAAAAAAAAGTTATTAGACAAGAGTGTGATGAGAGAAAAATAAAAAGAGTACTGTAATAAAGAATAACTGACTGGGGAAAGTGTCTATTTGAGACAGGATGTTAGCATTTGAGATAAGACCTAAAGGAAGATAAGGTGCCAGCCATGTGAGGAATTGATGTGAGACTTGCATTTCAAGCATTATGGTGTTCTAGCTAGCCTGAAAAATACTCCCACTATGAATCACCTAGAAAGTCTGGATTAAATATAATACACATCCTTTTAAATACAGGGCTGAGCTTAACAGTCTTATTAATCATCATCATCATCGCCATCACCATCATCATCATCTCAGAGGCAGAAAAATGAAAGGATCTGGAAACAAAAGTGGTAAGTTAAAGCTGATTACACACCTGCTGTCGAAGCATTTGTCAATTTCAGTAACCTACAAGTTCATTTTCTAAAAGCTAGAATAAATTAGGAAATGATACTATAGGCCTGTGAATGGTGAAGACTTAGAACTGTACCAACCTTCATATTCTGAAGCGATATGTTCTCAGTATAAATATGAACTTAAGA